ACTCTATTGTAAAGAATACCAGACTTTGAAGCTTTTTATTATTTTGCCATCTTTTCTTTTTGAGACAAGATGTTGCTATATAACAAATATTTTAGGCTTTCTTGGAACTCACCATGCAGCTCCAGCTGGCTCTGAACTTGCTGTAGTTCTTTTGCTTTGACTTCCCAAGTGTTAGGATTACAGGTGTTTGCCATCATTCTGTCTTTAAATTTTATAGGATACAAGCATTTTCAGGTCAGTGAGATGGTTCTGTTGTTAAAAGTGCTTGTTCCCAAGTCTGAGGACCTGAGTTTGCTTTCCACAATCCCTAAGGCGGAAGTGTTGACTCCTATGGTTGTCTTGACCTCTGAGCTTGTGTCCATATACATCTAAGTAAAATAAATAAGTTGGCTTTATTGGTGTGGACCAATTGATCTCCTAAGTTGTAGGCTGTATATAGGAATAACTTGATTTGGTGACCTGCTTTGTGTTTTTTCCTTGTTGTTTATGTGCGTGACTTATGTCCATATCGATAGTTTTGTGTTGAGCTTTGTTTTATGTTAGTGCTACTTTGAAATGTAGAAGAGCTCATACTAACTTGCTACAGAAATCTTGTCTAGAATTGAATGGCTTATTTAATACACCTAGCTAGGTGTGGGATTATACAAGTTAGTTGCTTAGGACTAAGCTACATGTTCTGTTCCTATATCAAATGTGGAGAAAACTTTGTTTATCCAGACAAAAACTTAGAGTAATTTAGGGATGGGGGGAAGGACAGGGATGCTTATAGCCATAAGTAGCTGCTGTGATTCTCTCCTGGTTCCCATTGTTTGTTCTGGGTGAAGATTAGAAAAGCACAGGAGGTGAAAAAGAAGTTCTTAGTTTTTGGTACTAATTTCTTAGGGACTACAGAAGAGTTGTGTTCCTAAAATAATTGGAAAAGGTTTCATTTTGACTTTTAACCCAGATCCTATGTTCCTAATAAAAACATTACTTTGGTGCTGGTGATAATAGCTCAGTTACTTGAATGCTTGTCTAGCATGCTCAGTGGTCCTGGATCAAATATAGCACCTCATAAACAGGCATGGTGGCATATGCCAGTAAACCCAGCTTTCAGGAGATGGAGGCAAAAGGATAAGAAGTTTAAGGCCATTCTTGTTATAAGTGAATGGCATTGCAGGTCAGCCTAGGTTAATAAGACCCTGTCTAAAAAACAAAACCTAAATACCTATTTTTCCTATTTGTTGAATTGTAGATGGTCAGTGTAAATTTAAATTTCAGTATTTTGTGGCTAGCAATTTTCTTTAGAGGTGTTGTTTTGATCTAGTATTGTGTTCTAGGCTTGTAAAGAAGACTCATCTATTTATTTAAAATTGAAGAAGTGGATTTTTGGTGACGGAACTCTGCCTCTTACCCTAGCTTTGGAATAGGCCCTTTGAGTCTCAGTTCCAGTTCCTCAATTGGGATACCTGCTTTGCTGACTCACAAAATTTTGTATTTAAAAAAAAAAAAATTAAAGGCCTGATGTACTTAGTGGCAGAATATGGATATAGCATGTGCAAGATTTGAGCTTGAGCACCAAAACCCTGATGAATTTTGGCTCTGTGAATTATGTCTGAAGGTGCTGCATAGATTGTATCTAGTGCATGCCACTGCTCTTCTAGGAAATCCAGACTTTAAACATCTATTTGGAAAGCATTTTTTAAATAAAGCATGGATTGTTCACTGTGACTCAAGTAATAAGGGCGTGTATTGTGGTTAAAGGGTGGGTTGGCAGTTTGATGTTCTGACGCTTTACCTTAAGGTTTATGGTCCTTTTCCAATAATGACTTTGATTTTAGTAAACTAGTTCTGGACACAAAATTATCCCACAATTTTTGTGCCCTAGGTTTTTAAATAAGAGATCTAAAGCCTACAGGTGCAGATGTGTTCATCAAAACAGTGTTTAAGTTCTGTTATTAAATTTAACTTATTTTTTTTAAAAAACATTTATTTATTTATTTATTTATTTATTTATTTATTTATTTATTATGTATGCAGTGTTCTGTCTGTCTGTATGCTTGCTGGCCAGAAGAGGGCACCAGATCTCATTACAGATAGCTGTGAGCCACCATGTGGTTGCTGGGAATTGAACTCAGGACCTCTGGAAGAACAGTCAGTGCTCTTAACCTCTGAGCCATCTCTCCAGCCCTTAACTTATTTTTGAAAGATAAATCTTCCCCATTTTCTTAAGCACAAACCTCTCCGGTTAGGATTAATAAAGAAAAACCCTCCTTTAAGTAGAGCAGATTTCTTTTTTTAAATTTTACTTATTTATATTTTATGTATGAGTGTTCTGCATGGATATACCTGCATGTCAGAAGAGAGCATCAGATCTCATTATAGATAGTTGTGAGCCACCTTGTGGTTGCTGGGAATTAAACTCAAGACTTTTGGAAGAGCAGCCAGTGTAATCACTGGGCCATCTCTCCAACTCTAGCAATTTGTTTTGTTTTGTTTTGTCTTGTTTTTGTTTCTTTTTGAGAAAGAGGGTGGATTTTCTAAAATCCTGATTGGTTGGATTTTATATTTTTCTTTGGCCCCAAGGGATGATGCTTGATTTTTTTTTAACAGACTGCTTAGCTCTTTCAGAATTACTGAAACTCTCAATAGAGCTTTTCAAGTTCATCTGAGGTTTATCTACTTTTTTAGGATGCCTTTCCCATCTTTCCTCCAAGAGTTGGAAAGTGCTGTGTGTGTAACCTTCATGAATACTGTCTTCATGTCTATTCTTATTTTTGAGGAAATGAGAAAGCAGCAGATACTGAGTTGGTTGATGGTGATTTGGATTCTAGAAGTGATAATGGAGAAATGATCTCATTCTTGAGTTTTTATATCTGAAATTAGACTCCTGCTTTCTCAGTTATAACGGTTTGGAATTTTTGGTATTTATTTGATTTTTTTTTTTTAGAGATTTATTTATTATGTATATAGTGTTCTGTCCACATGTATGCCTACAGGCCAGAAGAGGGTGCCATATCTCATTACAGATGGTTGTGAGCTACCATGTGGTTGCTGGGAATTGAATTTAGGACCACTGAAATTGTAAGCAATGCTTTTAGCCTCTGAGCTATCTCTCCAGCCTGAAGTTTTTGGTTTTTAAAATCAAGCGCTGTGTACTGAAGCTTGCTCTGTAGACCAGGATGGCCTCGAACTCCCAGAGATCCTCTTGCCTCTGAGTGCTGGGATGGGTTTTGGACTACCTTGTGGGTGCTGAGCAAAGGTCCTGTGCAAGAGCAGTAAGTTATCTGCTGAGGCAGCTATTTAGCCTGTTTGAACTTACATTTTAAGAGACTAGACCTAGCTGGGCGGTGGTGACACATGTCTTTAATCCTAACACTCAGGAGGCAGAGGCAGGTGGATCTCTGTGAGTTTGAAGCCAGCATGGCCTACAGAGTGAGTTCCAGGACATGCTCCAAAGCTACAGAGAAACCCTGTCTTGAAAAACCAAAACGGGGGCGGGGGGAGAAGGGGGGAGACTCTGAGACTGGACCTATCCCAGTTGTTATTCCACTTTTTTTTTTTTCCCCTTAAAGATAGGAATTCTGTGGTCGTTGGCTCTGGAACTCATTTTGTAGACCAGACTGACTTCTGCTTCTGCCTCCAGAGTTCTGTGATTAAAGAGTGTACAAGATTTGCCATTTACTACAGAGAAAGTCTTGTTGCAGAGTCCTGCAACTGTCATGTTGCATGTTATATAGCTGTCATGTGGAATTTCCCTCTGTATGCTATGATTACCACTGATTAATAAAGAAATTGCTTTGGACCTATAGCAGAGCAGAAGAGAGATGGGGGGGGGGACTAAACTGAATGCTGGGAGAAAAAAGGCAGAGTTGAGAGACACCATGTAGCAGCCAGAGGGAAAGGACGCATGCTATTAGCTGGAATCTTGCTGGTAGGCCACGAGCCTTGTGGTAAAATATAAAATAATAGAAACGGGCTAGTTTAATATATAAGAGCTTGCTAGGAATATGCTAGAGTCATTGGTCAAGCAGTGTTTTAAATGATATAGTTTCTGTGTGATTATTTTGGGTGTGAGCGGCCAGGAACGAGCAAGCTACCTCCTACAACTTTTGTCACCCTGCGTTTGACCATGAAAACTGGGGATTGAGGCCAAGACTTATATGCTAAGCTAGTCTTTGCCCTATTTAACTACTATTACTGCTTTGTTGTTGTTGTTTTAAATCAGATTTATTCACCTTGGGATCTCTGATGTCTGGATGATTTGTCTTAGTGGGACAAACCTCTTTGTTGTATTTTTTTTTTTCTTTTTTCCTGTTAGAGGCTACTATGTAGTTTGAGGCCAGCCAGGGTACATAGTGAGATCTTGTCTCCTAAAATAAAATATACTCCATGTGTTCTACTAGCTCAGACTTCAAAAGAAATTGGAGGGACTTTTAAACTTTGAGATTGTTTCTAACTACATAGAAAAACTGAATGCCTGGGTTTATTTTGCTGAATTGAGTTTCAGTATACACTGGGAGGCTCATCTGGGGAAATTTAAGGCAAGGGAATGGTTATGACTTACAAAAATACTCTGGTTGGAAGAAGACTGCAAATATATTGAGGGTGGTGAGTGAAGTTTTTTGGTTTCCTTGTAATAGGGACACAGTAGTACTCATTCAAGAGTGGATAGGTTTCTTCATTTCTCAAGTTAACACCTACTACTCTAAAATAGGCTAAAGTTTGACAAGTTACTTTGGCTAAAGAAAAACAGTTCCTCCATTTTTGTATGCGGTGTTTATCTTTTTGGCAGGGGTTGGAAGTAAGGTTTAGAATTATGTCTTGAACTTTAGACTTAGAATTTAGACTTAGAAGATTACATGTTTAATGTTTTAAACATTACTATGGTATATTTTGGATTAAAAGACTGCTCATAGCTTATTCATTTTGGTTAAGTGCAAAGTGGGTTTCTTTAGGAGCAAATATAGTACAACTGTGATGATAACTGTATATTTTCCTTTTCTTTTTATTTCTAATAGAAAGCGTGGATACCCATCAGCGAAGTTTTGATATTGGAATTCAGATTGGCTATCAGCGACGCAATAAGGATGTGCTGGCCTGGGTTAAAAAGCGCAGAAGAACTATTCGTAGAGAAGATTTGATCAGCTTCCTGTGTGGAAAGGTTCCTCCACCACGGAACTCTAGAGCTCCCCCAAGACTGACTGTAGTGTCCCCTAACCGAGCTACTTCAACGGAAACTAGCTCATCTGTAGAGACTGATTTGCAACCCTTCCGGGAAGCCATAGCTCTGCATGGTAAAGCCGTTTAAACATATTTCTTTGGAAAATGGTTAAGGGTGTGCCTGTGGACCCATTTTCATGTTTAGGGTTAGGTCCAGATAATATTGTCTGTTTTTGTCTATATAGTAAATCCTGGTTCTAGAAGTGTTGAAATAGAATGCAAGCTACAAGCATACATTGGCAGCCCATCTGACTGGTTAGTTTGAGCTCATTAGTATTATAGTAATTATTTCTGCACCACTGATTAGAATTTATTGTTTTGCACCCACATATTGTACATGTTTTATTAGTCTTTTTGAGTCAAGGGGGAGGTCCTTGTGTCTTAAGAATTCTGTTAGTTACAGTTGCTTGGAGTGCTTGGTCCGTGATAGTCAAATAAGACAGGAATTGTTGAATTTGTTTACATGGAAAACAGGGACTACCTTTAACACCTTTGGTTATCTAGTATAGAGAGTGAGTTGGTAGCCCAGGGGAAAGAGGTTGGAGAAGTCATACTCCCTCTGCTGCTGTTCCTCAAACCTTTATTGTTTAGGTGGATAGGATTGTGAGAGGTATAGCCAATGGCCAAGTCATCACTATTTCCCAGGCCAGATCTGTCATGCAGATGTGTTTTTGGCTCAGAGGATCTAGATATTAGAGAGATGGGGAAATGTTTTCAGTGATAAATTTGCTGTTACTGTCTACTACAGACTTCCATAAGCAATAGAGAGGGCTATTTACTCTGACATGTTAAACTGCTGTGAAAATAACAGCAACTAAGTCAGACTTGTTTGAAACCAAGGTGGACACATGGTCAAACAGGTGACTAGGTAGAAGTGAGTCAGGTCATGCGTCCTGTTGACAGCTAACATTTTTAGGCCATAGAAATGGTCATAGGTCTTTAAAATAAGGCTAACCTGCTAATAAACAGGGTGATATGTCTAAATGGCTTCTATATCTTAGAAATTTTAATGTCTCCAGAGACTGTAAGTCCTTTGGCAACCATTTCTAATTTACTTTCTTTCTTGTATCCCTAGTGAAAAGATGAGAGCTGGAAAAATGTTGCCTCCCTCCACACCATTTCAGATTTACTTGCTAGTTAAAGCACTTATACCAAGAAGAAATTTATATGAATGCAATACCTATGATTGCATACTTTTTCTGATATTATTACTATTTAGGTAGTTTTCCCCCCCTACTGTATTAGTGTGTCACATTTCCTTTTAAATTTGGAAAAACAATTAGAGGTGTATAATATGTCAGATTGATTTAGTGAATGGCAGCATGTGATATAGTTTCAAATATTGTCATTTCTTATGATTGAATTCATACTTCAGATATTTTTCCAACATACTAGTATCTTACAGAGCCAGTTTTACAAATCAAGCCTTGCTTTCTAGCTAATAGTATCAGGATATATACAGTAAAAGGCAGCCCAGATTCCATGAGGAAACTCTTATCTTAAGTGCCAGTGTGTTTTTTTTCAGATCCAGTTTGTTCAACCTATGATTTATTATTTTTTGAACTTTGAGAGTCTTGTAAGATATAGTTGTAGAAAGGACTATTACTTATGCTTAAGTTATGAGGGCATTAATAAATGTAAGTATAAAACCAGTAAAAATAAATTTTACCTATGGTGAATTCACAGTAAAATAATTCAGTACATATTTGAGCAGAGCGTATTCTTTATTTTTTTGTTTTGTTTGAAAGTGTACCCTTGACAGGTTTGTACCTCTAAAGTCATGTAGTTAAACAGTTTTGGGTTAAAGTTTTAGGGCCTCTTCAAAGAATTTTTAGAAACAATTATACTTGAACGTCTTGTTCTAATGGTTGTCAGTTTACTGAGGAGAGGGCTAGTCTTATTGAAGATTTAAATGAGGGTATTTGGATTAGTCAGAGGGCATTGTTAATTAAATGGTAAGGTAGACAAATGACTATGATATTCTTATCTGATTTGTATTGAACATCTTAATTGGATAGAGATACCAGAGTTTTTTTTGCCAATTATTTGCATAGTCAATTTTGAAATATAAAGTCAATTACGAGTTTTTAGAGTACTTCATTGGATTTATTGAAGGGTGAGTCTAAATTCATGAAATTTTAGAGCAAGGAGGAATGGAAAAAGAGTATGGCGAGGCAGAAATTTGTGTTTGCAATGGAAGCAAACATCATATTCTTCATCATTTTATGAAAGGGACAACTTCCTTCTTAAGTGTATTCATTAGTTCCTGGACCCCTTCCACCCCCAATAAATACCTCTACCAGAAACATCTGTCCACACATAACATCTTTCATTATTGGGAGAAAAAAATAGCAGGGACTATTAAGGTGATTGCAGAGTGTTTCATGTAGATGGGGAGTGTCAAAGAAGACGACCTCCCCCCGCCCCCAGGGATAACCCCATCAGCTGGGAACCAGCTTAATGTGAGATTTGGGTAGTTTCAATCAGAAGTGGGTTCTATTCCAACATTTCCAATAGAAAAATATTCTGGTATACAGAAGTATGAAATAGAAGATAAATAGATATAAGCTGTTTTACTGATTGTTTTATAAAATAAACTAGTACAGATGATGATGCCTTGTATGAAACACAAGACTAACAATTCCAGTCTCATGTATTGGGAGCTTTAGGATATGGTCCTTGTTAATGGATGAATCACTGAGTGTTTGGCAGAGTCCATGCTTTTAATGAGAGTTGAACAGAAGAATGGCTGCTTCATCCAGGTACAAGTAGGTGAAGGGTTTTGTTCCTTAGGTGGTTATGTGACAGAAGAACCCAAGGAGTATGCTTCAGTGCCATATGGAGTTGTACTTTCTTTGTCAGATTCTTTTTTGGTAAGAGGCAGAATCCTTTTGTATATTAGGTTTCTTTAACTCCTGAGCAGTGGACATGTTGCAGTTTTGATCACTACCTTCCCAGTGTATGTGGTAGAATGTGGTTATCATGAGCTGACAGCTTAGCCTCAGGGAGGGGCTTGTGTTACCTGGGCTGGAAAGGAAAGGAGGTAGCTGTTAATAACAGAAGCTGTGGTGACTATAGCAGTGGTTCTCAACCCTTTAGGGGCCCAACCACTGTTTCACAGCGGGTCACCTAAGACCATTGAAAAATAACCATATTTACATTATGATTCATAACAGTAGCAAAATTACAGTTATGAAGCAACAACAAAATAATTTAATGGTTGGGGGCACAGCATTTGGGAAGGTTGAGAACTACTGCTATATAGGATTATTTTTTGTTTTGGGATAGATCTCTACACAGCCCTGCTGGCCCCTACTCAACTGTGTAGACCAGGGTGACCTCAAATTCATTGAGTTCTGTCTCCAGAGTTGGGATTAAAGGCATGCACCACCACTATTTTTTTTTTTTTTTAAAGGGAAGGTCTCATTCTATAGCCCAGAAAAATACTCGATTTAATGCTCATCAAACAACTTCAGTTAAAACTAAGTGATGGTGGCTAGCAATGTGTGAGACTTACAAGTCTAACTATGCTTTATTTGATCACTTTTCTGTAGCATGTTGCTTATTTTCTGTGTACTATAGGACTTAGTTATTAGATGTTACATTCACAGAAAATGAAATATATAGGTTCATGCTAATTGATTTTTTGTCTTTGTTAATTCTTATCTTAAAATAACACTGAAAATCTACTGAGATTCACTCAGAATCTTTTTTTTTTAATTTTTTTTAATTTATATTTTATGTATGAGTGCTCTGCAGGCCAGAAGAGGGCATCAGATCCCATTATAGATGGTTGTGGTTGCTGGGAATTGAACACAGCACTTTTGTAAGAACAGCCAGTGTTCTTAACCACTGGGCCATCTCTCCAGCCCACTACATTCCCCTTTTTATGTAAACAATAATTCATGTAGACCAGAAATACCTAGAGTACTTTCGTTATTTTCTGCTAATCTTTCTGATGACACCCTTTCTCTTTTAGGGTGTTTCGTTCTCTTTTGCTACTTGGGTTTCTGAACTTTTTCTCAGGTTCCTTGACTGACCTACGTTAGATTTTACAGGATCTCTAACCCTAGCTGCCACTTCCTGTAGACTCTTTAGGGGCCTCTTACTTTTAGCTTCCAGATCTCTCTACTTGTCATTTAGAACTCTGTCGGCTGTCCCACATATGTTTTTGTCTTCTGGTCCACATCCTTCAGGGTGTCCTGTGAGCATTTGCTACACATGACATTTCCCCTTTTTCCTTCCTGAGTACTAGGGCTTCAACCTAGGGTCTTGTGCATGCTGGGCAAGTGCTATACCACTGAACTGTATATTAGTTGACATTTCACACTAACCTTGGCAAATATATACCATCTCCTCTATATAGCTATGCAGCAAGCAGTTTGTGTATTCTCTAGAAAGAGATAGGTGAAGAGTACTTCCATTTTCTGTTGAGACAAACAATAGGATGATTTATGTTAATGTGTTAGGTGTGGTGTAAAATTGGGAGGAGGAACAGCGGAAAGGGCTGTCTCACAGTTTAGCTTGGCTATGGACAGGCTTGTGGAAGGGTCTCTGGAGGAGTTGTGTTTGGGCTTAGGGTGGTCTGCTATTGCTGTTATTTCTGACATGATTTAGGTGCCAGACTATCTTTTATAAAACCACTGGAATGATCTTTCTTCTTCCTACCCTCCCAATTCCTTTGCCTAAGATTTTTTTCTGTGGTCCTACAAGGGCAAATAAAAACCCATTGTCGTCTGGTTTTGATTTGGGATCAATATCCCAGCTGTACTCTCACAAATCTCTTTATCCACCTGTTTACACTGATCATGTAACTTGTGACACAGCCTCTTTTCTCCATTTCTCTCTGTTTTCATCATTATTTTTAATACAGGCTAGATTTGAATTCTTGTTTTAGATTTTCGAAACAGGTTTTCTTGGAACCTGTCCTGGAACTTGCTCTTGTAGTTTAGCCTGACCTCGAACTGAGAGATCTACCTGCCTTTGCCTCCCGAATGCTGGGATTAAAGGCATGTGTCATCACTGCCTGGCTGGATTTGAATTATTGATTTTTGTGACTCATTCTCTTGACTGCTCTGCTGGGATTACAGATGTATACGACGACATCTGGTTTGTTGTCCCCATTTCCTTTAAACTGTAAGACAGGGTCTCCTGTTGTTCATATTGTCTTAGAACTCTCTTAACTCCTGATCCTTATGCCACTACCTCTCAAATTCTAGGATTTACAGGCATGTGCCTTTTTGTTTTTAAATGTAATTAGTAGTAACATACTACAACATATTGATTGGCCTGCAACTCAGTATATAGATATGCAGAAAGGTGGCCTTGAGCATTTGGGTGGTTTTCCTGCATCTGTAGTACTGGAATTGTAAATGTGTGTCATTACACCTGACTTTCCCTTAAAGCTTTTCTTAAACAGAGTCTCACTGTGTTCAGATGCTGTACTTTTCTGATGATCGGGGGCATGTTGTGCCATTCCTTTTGGCTTTTATAGAACCTAGCAAAGAAAATGGTTAATTGTGCTTCTGAATTTACCATAGGAATAAATACAGAGGTCTAGAAGTGACTGTAAGCAGCACTTGGGGACTGAGAACCTTTGGAAAGAGGAGTGATCTGTGTGCCATTCTTGGAAAGGAATCTTGCATTAGAACAACTGAGAATTTGCTGGTCCTGAGAATGAAACCATGAGAGGTAGTCCTTTTTTATTTTTTAACATTAATTTTTTGACAGCTTCCTATATGAGTACTATATATATATCATTTCCACCCCATATTATATGTGTTTGAGACTCACCACTTAGAATTGAAGATTTGATTCTCCTTCATTCAACAGCAAGTAGCTCTTCATTTAGGGTTTTGTCCTTGTGATATTTTCCTGATCGATCTTGGAATGTTAACTGGTGGTAGATTTGTTCAGGTCTTGTTGAGAACTAGTCTTTGGTATATACTAAAAAAAAGTTTTTTTTTTTTTAATTTTATGTGAAAAGTTTCTTTATTTTGTGTATATTTACTAAAAGATGTTTGTCTTTTGATGCTTGTTCTTACTGAGGAGCCTGTAAGTTCGGAGCTTGCTGTGTATACCAGATTAGCTTTGGATTTTTAGCTAGTGATCCTCTTGCCTTTGTCTCTCAAGTGCTGTGTTTGCAGACCTGGGGCTTCTTAGTATACTGTGTATCACCAAGCCCAAAGGTTCCTCATTTGATATTCACCTGCTCTGTTCATTGATGGAGAAAGGCTAATTTTGTTGTGGTAGAGCAGGTTAGTAAGTGATAGGTTATTTGGGATCCATCTGGCTCTAAAATTTGTTCTCTTGCTTACTTGTCTCTATGTATAGTTTTAGGGTATCTTTTTATATCACTCATCTCTCCCCCCTCCCCCCTGGACTTACTTAGGTGGGTGGGAAATATCTTGAGATCATTTCAGAAAAAATTCAAGAGACACATTAAAATTTTATGTGTCTGGGATTCTCCTATCAGTGAATCTGGATAAGTGGTTTTGAAGATGAATGTTGGATGGCCAGCTTCTGGTATCCTTGACTTACTGTGGTAGGAAGAGTGCATAATTTTTATGTGCAGGTCACATACCCTTTGCAACCTTGGGCAATGTGCTTAACATCTAATACCATCTTTATTAAAGTGATTTCTATGTGATAGTATATGAGAACCAACTAGGTTGCTTACCTACCTACCTGACCCTCCATGATTCTGTCTAAATGTTCTTGTTCTGACAGCTACAGCTTTTCTTCTTGCTTGTAGTGAATTCCAAGTATCACTCTACAGACTTAATTTAAAGCTTTATTTTTTATTTTTGTAAATATCACACACACACATACACACATGAGTATTTTGCCTGCATGTATGTCTGAGTATTATTTGTGTTCATGGCCATTGGATTCCATGGAACTAGATTTACAGATGGTTGTTAGCTACCATACCGGTGCTGGGAGGTCAAATTTGGGTCCTTTGGAAGAGCAGCCATTGCTCTTAACCTCTGAGCTATCTCTTCAACCCTGTCTTACTGTTTTTGTTTTGTGTTTTTGCCTGTTTATTACTTGCTAAATTCTTGAGCTTGGTTCCTGTGGACAAGCTAGAGAAGTTGGTTCTGAGTTTTCCTGTTCAAGCTAGTGCTGTTTGGGGAGCCTTAGGCTCCTTTAGAGTTGTTGTTATGGAGATAAGTGCTAGGGTGCAAAGTAAGAAGGCACATATATTCTAGATGTAAGGCTTGTTACCAAAACAAACTTTACTCAATCTCATAACTAGTAAAGCTTCACTCTATGTCATCTCATAATACAAGTGGGCTTTGTAGGTTACTAACTCTGGTCCACACTGATTCTTAAAAATCAAAGGTATCTTCATTCCAAAAATTATTTTCATGACAGTCTTGACTTTCGTAATACACTTCAACCCATTGGGCTTAGGTGGTTCTTCTAAAAGTACATACTGTTGCTGATTCAGGCCTATACATGCAGGGTCTGGTGTCCCTTTTGGCACTTGTGGGAATTATTGCTCTTACTTGGCATTTTGGTTTAAGATATCATGTTCTCAATTTTAAATTAGTTTTGTGTTGAAAAAAGCAGTAAGAGAAGGATTTGGACAAACTCAGACAATGAAACCTTTATGATTATGATACATTATAAAATTAAAAGAGGAACAAATCTTTTGTTGTAATTATTACTGCCTTCATTCTTTCTTTTTGGGAGACAGGGTCTCACTGTACATACTTGGCTGACCTGGAGTTTGTTGTGTAGAACAGGATGGTCTTGAACTTTGGACTTCAGGGAATCTCCTGCCTTAGCCCTCCCAATCGCTGAGATTACAGGCAATTTTTGTGTGTGTGTGTGTGTGTGTGTGTGTGTGTGTGTGTGTGTGTGTACGTGTATATATGCATGCTGATGATCAAACTCAGGGGCTTTGTGCTCTACCCTGGAGTGATACTCCAGTCTTTGGAAAGGTACCTTTAAAAAGGATTACTTGGTAAGTTGGGACAAGTTTCCTTAGTGTTGAAGGTTGAAACCATTTTGGTTTGAAAACCCTTTGTTTTGTTTGTGGATTTGTTGTGGGTTTTCTGCAGTTTAGAATGTATGTATGTATAATGATATACAAGTATGTATGTTTGTTGTCTTTCTGTAGTTTAGCACTTCCTATAGATAACATTTATTTAGAGTGAATATCAGGTGTTATTTTGTAGACAAAGGGACAGGTGACTATAAAAATGATTAACCTCAAGGAATGTCTGATCTGGCAAAATTAACACCATCCTGAAACATAAGCCTAGGGGAATCAGTCTGAGGTACAGTGTGTGTTTGTTCATTTGACTGGTAGGGGCTAAAAATCTGAGCCTTGTGATATTTACTTCATTTTCTTTGTTCTGAATGAACTCTGGGCTTTCTTGTATGTACTAAGCTCCATCCTTGGTCGCTCCTAGGCTCTAGAGAATCTAGGTAGGGCTTGTAAGAAAAGGCAGTCATAGGAATTTCAATTTAGTTATATAAAGTGTGACAAAAATTTTTACCTAGAATTCCTGATTCCTCACACATGAAGCATTAAGAACCCCAAAAGGAAAGGGGTTTTAGGCATCATGAACCAGCAGTTTTCTTCTCACTACAGACTCAGAGTGGTTATTTTGGAACATTCTTGGACTTATATGTGGCAGACTGCTTTTTAAAGAGAGAAATAACTGCATTTAGGAGATCTGTGATAAATAGGACACATGACAGTACCTGGAAGAACTCACTTTGGTTTTCTGCCTTTCATTCTACCATCCCTTCTGATGCTTCAGCAATAACAAGAGAACTTTTATCCTGAGAGCTAACACAGATGCTTAAAAGTTATTAAAGCGAAGAGATAGTATAGAAGAAACTGCATTTTTTTTTTTTTTTAAATGGCAGAGGACTGGCTAGGACCAACCTTTTGAGAGTTTGTTGCTGTCTGCTCATCTTTCACGGCCCACAAGCGAACCTCTCCCCCCTTTTTTACTCTGAGGAGAAACAATCCTGGTGTGTGGAATATTGTAGTGCTTGTAGAATATTGTGGCCAGGTGCATCCTGTTGATAGATTTTCAGCAGATGGTTTAAAAAACATCCTTGGAGCTTGTGTAAGAGATTTTGGCACCAAAGCAGTCTCTTAATCACTTACATTTGATTTTTTTTTTTTGTTTTTGTTTTTTGTTTTTTTCTGAGACAGGGTTTCTCTGTAGTGTTGGAGCTTGTTCTGGGACTCTCTGTAGACCAGGCTGGCCTCAAACTCACAGAGATCCGCCTATCTCTGCCTCCTGAGTGCTGGGGTTAAAGGTGTGCGCCACCACCGGCTGGCTTTCTATTTTCTTTTTTGTTTTTTTGGAGACAGGGTTTCTCTGTAACAGTCCTGGCTGTCCTGGAACTCACTCTGTTGACTAGGCTGGCCTTGAACTCACAGTGATCCACCTGCTTCTGCCTCCAGATTTCTGGGATTAATGGTGTGCACTACAAATGCCTAGAAGGAACTTTTATAATCACTCTTTCCTCAGACCAGAATCCAAGACCAATAAAATTATAGCAGGGCACTTATAATCACATTAATTTCAGATGAAAAGTTGATATTTTATGTACATTAAGGATATTAAATAACCAAAGGTATTGGGGATAGACTAGGTATTCAATATTAATAAAACAGAATTTTCTTGGACTTGTAATAACATTGTGTTAGATATTGTAGTGGAAAAATTAAAAGGCTATGAGATCTCAAAGCCAGTTTAATTACCCTAGTACCTATTGAGTAATCTGTTGGTAGCTATTAAACAGTTGAATTATCTGAGTTTCATTTTGGAAAATTCCCCCAAAGCAAAAAGGTTTATTTACTATCTTGTAATTTCACTCTATAAAAACAAGTACAGCCAAATGATTAATTTTTCTAGTCTTTTTTCAATGTATAAATATTATTTCACAGTTGAGATCATATTGCAAATATGGTACTGTATCTTACATTTCTCACTTAACGTCGTGAACCTTATTTCCTGTGGCATTAAAAACTGTCTTTCAAAAATGATGTCTTTGATAAATGGAAAGCATTTTGGGCTGTCAGTATAACTGAAAATGTTTTCTTGGTGTGACACATGTACCTTTGTAATTGGCTTGATTTAGTGTGCTTTACTTCAATAAAAATTCAGTATTACAATTTACAGATTGGGGTGGGGAGTGGTATCTACTTTTAAATGACCAGAACCTTCCTGTAGTATGGTTATTTTTTTCAGTGATTGAACTCTTAAAACACTAGATGACATTGACACCGCATGTGCCTGCACCTCACTCAGCACATTGCACAGGAGCACTCACACTTGAGTGTACAATTCATTTCAAAGGAATAGAATGCCAACTTTTTAGGGCTCTCAGGCAGGTTGATACCACTTTAAATTCCGAGGGATTTAGGCCCCCACTCCTTTTCCCCAGATAATGTTGGTTTGAGCAGTCTGCCGAGGGACCCGAACCTGTCGTTCGCCATTATCTTGTGCACCCCTAGGGCTGGTGCTGAAAGTTAGGAGAGCATAGATGGCAGCCTCAGTTGGGCTGTGAGGTTTTCTGAGTCGGGATTTGTTCTTTCTCTGTGACTTAATGCTGGTAAACGGGAGTTTTATGTAATCGATTATGCAACAGCATTTTCATATTACAGTATGAAATGATGAAATGGTTTGAAAATAATAGTGATGTGCTATTTTTAATGATTTCCATGTAATCTGGATTTCTATAACCTGGACTGTAAACTTGTTTCCACACCACTGGGAGTTTTCAACAAATGATTAAATCATCCTAAGGTTTTTTTTTTTTAATTACTATATTGCTCATTTCAAATGGATGCAGAAACATTAAAGCATGAGTTTGTTATCTTATGTTAAATAATTGAGACTTCTGTCTAATGCTACCTATTCTGCTTCTGTCAAATGATATTTTCATAGTCCGCTTGAAAAACACATTTTTAGTAGAAATTAAGCTGTATGTCCTAAGGACGTACAACTTAGTTTTTAGTTGTGAAGCATGTTTAGATTTTCTGTACTTGTGTGGGCTGATTGTGTTCATGTGGCAGAGCAAGATTTCTGAAGTGGCTTCATTAGCTGTCACTGGTTTTCAAAATAAAATTTGGGCTGTTTAAAATTGCTTTTCCCCCTCTGTGGTTGTAATCTTAATTTTTGTTTTTGACACTTGTGAAAAGTCTTCTTTGGGGAACATTAGTGACTCAAACTTTGAAAAGATTGTCATAGCTGAGGATAGGTGACATGCACCATGAAGTTAAAACCAGCACTCTATAGAGAAAGATAGAGAAAGATGCTTTTCCAGGTGTAATGGGGATTTTCAGATTGGCCAAATTGCTGCATAATGTATTTTCTTTTTCATGGATAATTGAATCAATAAACATTGGCTGGAAGTGACTAGTCTGCTCCTTGCTGGAGTGGTTTTGAGTCTTTGGTAGTTGTCATCACCATCATGAACATTCATGAAGAGTATGTGTAGGCTGATTGAAGTCCCCTTGTAGTTTCATTTGCAAAAGGGATCCTGAATTATGGAAGTAGACCAATTTATTGCCCAGCTCTCAGATTTTACAGTAGAATTATTATAGAACCTCTGTATTCTAGAGCAAATATAAATGATGGTAACTGTTCATTGTAACTTGACAGTAATTCAGCATTTGGGAGGCTTAGGCAGGGCTGTTGTGAGGTTGAGGCTAGCCTGAGCTACAGAGAGCAGGACCCTGTTTTTAAAAAAACAAAACACACACACAAACACACTAGAGAAAAGGCTGGGGGTAGTGGTCTTTGCATGTCTTTAGTTCCAGCTTTCAGGAGGAAAATGCAGGTAGAGTGTAAGGCCTGCCTGATCTACTTATAAACAGGAGGTAGGGCAAGTACAGGCGGCTTTTGAGCCATTGGATATCATCTAGTAAGATATGTTATTATCCTGTAGGGCTAGGAAGAAAAGCAGGGCTTTCTCAGCAAGTTTTTATGGTCTCTGTGTAGGGTAATAGAAACACCAGCAACTTGGATGAGTAGTTGATTCTAAAGTGATGGCATTAGTTTAAGTGACTAACCAGCAACAACTTGGGTTTATTTCCTGAAATGAAGCCCTGGATTTCAATGAGTTTTGAACCGTGGGGCAGGTCTCTGAAGCATTGTTCTTTATCAGAATTCTGTGAGTATTCAGTACCAGGCAGTGTGTTAAGTCTTTCAGGTATGTAGGGAAAGCCTGCCCATAGGAGGAAATGGTTGATTGTGCTGCATAAGCTCTGGATTTTGGTTTCCCTCTGTTTGTTTAAGCCTTTGTTGAGGACAGAGAAGTGTTGTTCCTCAAGGAGCTATTAAGTCTGAGCTCTTCAGGAAGCAGTTAGAAATGAGTGGGCCTTTGAGAACAAGACAGGAGTTGCAAGCTAAGGGGTGAAAGAGCTCCCAATATGTGACACATCTGTCTGTCAAAGGGGCAGAAAGAAAGCCATAGGGCAGCTGAGGAAGCAGCTGGTAGGTAGGTGGGGAGGACAGGAAGAAGTGGAAAGTATCAAATGGGAAGGAAGGTGCCGCCATGAGGCTAAAAGAGAAAAGTAGACTTAGTAATCTCAGGAGACTTGTGAGTGTTATGGACTCTGGCTGAGCAAAGTTGGAAAAAAAAAATACAGTCCTGACTTCAAAAAGAACCACTAATCATAGATACTGGTGATACACAGTAAGTCTTAGGGTAGGATAAAAAGGGCAAGGTGAAGAGCTGTCAAGATGAGTCTAAGAGGCAGGCTAGCCTTGAACCCTAAAACTACTTACTTGTATGTATGTGAGAGAGAGACAGACAAATTTCTTTTTCTTTTTTTTTTTTTTTTCTTCGAGACAGGATTTTTCTGTAGCTTTCGAGCCTGTCCTGGAACTCCCTTTGTAAACCAGGCTGGCCTCGAACTCACAGAGATCCTCCTGCCTCTGCCTCCCAAGTGCTGGGATTAAAGGTGTGTGCCACCACCGCCGGACCCAGACAGACAGATTTCTGAGAATAGGGTCTTGACCTGTGTGTGTGACAGACAGACAGACAGACAGATTTCTGAGAATAGGGTCTTGACCTGTGTGAGAGAGGAGAGACAGATTTCTGAGAATAGATTCTTGACCTAGAACTTAATTGCAATTCTTGTGTTTCATCCTCCTAATAGTTTTTATATTACGAGGAGGCATTGTAACAAAAACAACAGTTCTTTAGCGTGTGGACTCCCCTTGCCCTCTTTTGCTGAGACTCGGCCTACCGCTTACTACCTGGATGACCTTGGGTGGGGTGGGGGGTGGGGCTACTTTTGTATTGTAGTCTTAGCTTGCTGAAGTCGTAGAGCTATATATTTTAGGGTTACTTTGAGGACTAACATTCCTGACCTGGGAAGCATGCCAGGATCAGTGCCTTCCCACCCCCTAAAGAAAGAAAACCAAAATCAAGCAAGAGCTGGCCTTTGAAAGGTAGAGGGGTAAAGAGGGACACTTGTTTTTCCCCAGATTACCATCATAAAAAACGGTGTGTCTTTATGGGGTTAGAATAGGGAGGGGTGGGACCTGGTTGGTTGACTGAAAGACAGGGAAGTGGGAGAAGTCTTTGTAGTAAGAACAACTTTGGGATTTAGTAGATTTGAATTGGTAGATTCATAGTTTTTCCACTTAAATCTTCAAACTTTTTTTTAAAAATAGAATTCAAAATAGGGAGTATGGCCTTACTAGATCAAACCTCGAATTTTGTTTTAAAGATCAGGTGGAATTGTTTCTCTTGGAAACATCAGTGATTCTAGATCATTCTCTTTATTCAGGCAGTGGCAAAATTTGAGTGAGGGAGAAATTCATGAAATGGGAGATTGACTGTCCATGCTAGTGTTTAAACTATAATGTTATAGTTTATATGTCCTGGTCAGGCACATGGCTTTTGCAGGCATATCTTGAATATTCAGAGCAGAATGTATATTTTATTTCTTAACTACTCCTGTTCTAAGCAACAAAGGTTCAACAGTTAGTGCTGAGACTTAAGAACCTGAACATGAAACAGGATTCTTTACCCTACCCTTCCTTACTCTTTCATCCCTGAAGGATTGGGGATGGTATTGACTTGGGCTCCTGTTTGTCCAGGGCATCCCCACAGTGGTCCAGTGTCATTTTTAACAGTGATTTTTTTCAGGCTTAATAATGGAGTGTTGGGATTATAGATTACACAGTCACCTTGTCTAAAAGGATTGTTGGACTAAGCCTACTCAGACCTAGAAATGTTTTCTTGCTTTCTCTACATATATCATGCACAGACACACTACAGAGACATTGTAAGAATGGTGACATTGGACCGAATAAAATGCCCTGCTTCAAGCATGCATCTCCTGTCCTGGTCTGTAAATTGTATATAGCACTTGCCTAATAGTATAGATGGGAGAATCATATCTTTGTATTCCTAGCACAGTACTTAATACATGTAGCTTTCCATCATTGTTAATTGCCATTATTACGAATAATGGTTGTATTGCCAAGAAAACGAGGTCAAAGCCAGATGATTGATCCTTACAGAATAAATTTAACTATTCACTGCTGACCCGTTACAAAGAATGCCAGCAGGCACTCCTTGACACTGTGACAACATGGAAAATATAGTGGGTTGCTTTCAGAAGGGTCGACTAATTGAGCAACTCTAAAACCTCTTTTCTTCTTCCTAGGTCTTAGTGGTGCAATGGCTAGTATAAGCGTGCGTTCGAGTACCCCAGGCTCTCCTACACATGTAAGCAGTGGACCGAATGCTAGTCGAAGGAGAAATGGACTCCATGATGTCGATTTGAACACTTTCATAACAGAAGAAATGGCACTCCACTTGGACAATGGTGGAACTAGAAAGCGTACCTCAGCCCAGTGTGGCGATGTCATTACAGACTCACCAACCCATAAACGCAACAGAATGCTCTAAACTGCAGACATTTTCACACCACCATGCTGCTTGAAAGCCACTCGATCCTCAACATATACTATTATTGCAAAGGAAACATGAGGCCATCTTCCCTTGTTCACTGTTTAAGACAAGTGGTTGCCATAAAAGGAAGTTCTAGGTATTTACAGTAGATGCCTCCTATAACTATGGCTTTCTCAAACTTAATCCTAGCAGAGGACGTGAGATAATTGTGTAGTCATTAGCAAGATCATCATAGGCAAACATATCCGTTCCAAGGCTAAAAGTGACCTTAACTGTATTTATTCTCAAAGGGAAAGGAAATATCAGATGTTTATTTGGTTATAGAATGCTTTCTTATTTTTATTTTTTGGTCCATTTCCTGCTGTGTTGAGTATTTTTGCTTAAACAGTATTGCCAGGTTTCTACAATTGTTAAAACCTTGATCTGGCTAGTAAGCCAGATCTGCAGGCTTCCATTTTTGCGGCCACACTGAACCATGCACCTGGCTTCCTTAGCGTGCAATTTCTGATTATCAGATTATGCCCAGTTTTCAGTTTTCAAAACAGTTCTAACTCTGGTGATTGTGAGATGTAAAGAGGTGCTATGATGGTCATGCAAGTAATATTTAATACTGAATCAATACACAGAACTTTATTGGATTCACTTTGTGTGTGTTAGTGCTCTGAAAATAGCAATATTATTAACCTGTCCCCAGAGTAACCCTGTAGGCTTCAGATACTCAGTTTTAAAACAAATACTACTTCCTATGCCAGGCACTTTACTTCTGGTTAAACACAAGCTGCATTCAGAGTGACCTGAAAAATGGGTCATGATTTTGGAGAGTGGGCTTCCTTTTTGGTTTGGTAGTAGTGAGAGGAAACGGATGGTGGGAGTAGGTATTTATTCTTTAGTTTTTTTTTTTTAATTTTTATGGATGCCCTACTGTGTGTAGTTGTCATAGCGGGTGAAAGATGATAAATATGTTTTATCTGCTACTAATGTGAACGTAACTTAAATAGTAAAATCCAACTTTTCCTGTTCCTCCATTCCTCTCAGAAGTGCAGTTTGGAATTTCATTCTGGAAAAGATGAGATCGCATGGAGATTCTCTAGATGTTAGGTAGACCCAAATAAAAGCTCTCAGAGTCCTCTTTGGGTAAATATAAGACCTCTTGTAGCTGCAACATTTTAGAGCATGTTTCATCTGCATTTTTACTACCTGAACTGAACGGTAGTCTATTTAGA